CCGCCCCCTCCTCCTCCTCCTCCATACAGCACCACTTATCTGTCCAAACGTCTCAATTATAAAGAGGCGGCGACGGAGACCGGCAATTTCGCGAGTCCAGGTACAAACGCACCGCGCGATTTTCTTCACCATCGACATGGACGATGCCAAGCCAAGGGCTTATTAGTCACTCGTTATCCGCCAGGATTCCAACTTCCTTCGAGGCACGGGGACTCTTTCTTCCAGCGTTATGGGCGAGCTCAACCGCATGAATTATTGGTATATTTAATTTAATGCGCGCGGTTATAGGCTAAGGAGCTTTCTCTATTGTGCCCAATGGTTACGTCTAGTTTATGGTGATTGAGTTTCAAGCGTTACCCTGACGACCAATGTGTATTACTGTATTCTCGGGATTGCGCGGCTATACGAATGTGACACTTTTTCACTGGCCGGACTTTACGAGATAATAAAAGGTATCCGATTTAAAAGGCGGAAAACTACCCAAGATTTTACACGATTTTACACGACCGAAAGCTCGGTAGGAGATTAGGTTGGGTATTACTTAGACGCGGACGATGATTATTCCATGGAGAATTACGAAATTGCAGTTGGGATCCGTGTGGTCTGTACGATAAGCGGCAATGTCGATTCGAATTTTCTCGTGTGACCGAAGCTACGTAAGCCATTGACCCATTTCCGTTTGTAAGCGAGGACTCAGCTTCCTAGAGCATGCGCACATCTCGAGCACTAAAAGTACAATACAGCCAATAGTTGCGATTGTCTGGAGCGTTGATTACCCACCTTAATTCTCCTTTAATAAACCAAAGATTTTATTGGAGGCGTCGACGCGATATAAGTACGCGATCCTCATTAGTTGCTGAGGTCAGGCCGCGCGCAAAACGCGAGACGCCGAGGAGAGGAAAGGACGGAAGCAGGGCAAAAAGTGAAATCAAAAGAAAATTACTGCTTTCGTGCTAGGGGCGCAGCTCATTCTCCTCCTCCTCCTCCTCCTCCTCCTCCTACATCTCCAGCACCGCTTCCTCCTGGGAAAAGTGTCGCAGCGGCAGCGCATAAATAAGTGCGGCGGAGCGGGTGGTGGGGCTGGAGCGCGGGAAGGGGGAAGAGAAGAAAGTCGCGCCTGGGAAAACGGTGCGGACCAAGTAGCGCGAGTCGTGGGTTCCATGGCTGACCATAAACTCACGCGATGAACGATACCGGAACCCCCCACGTGAAGCTGATGAGGCGGCGAAGTATCGACGGCGGGAGGAGGACGGCGCGATACGTGTCCTAGCATCTACAGATACGCGCCTGACTCTAGGGTGGTCCATTTTATTTACGATTACGCGTGCAATTGACAATGATCGGGCAAATGATTCGGATGGTCGTTTAACTGCCCTTGCATTCCACCCACACGATCGCTCGGTAATGTAGGGACGAAAGACCTTAAAGTGCCTCCAAGATTTTTTACAGTGAATATAGTCAAAGTATGTTGCTTGACTTTGTCAAAATTTCTTTCTCGGCATTTAATTACTAGGACGTGCCATTCGTTAAAAAGGCGTCTAAAAATATGGTTCCGCACTCACGCTCAACTTGGATTGATGAAATGTTAAATATAATCATACCAAATATAAATGTAAAATACAATAAGTGTGGTTTGATAGAGGAACATAGGAACGACACGGTAATGGCCAATTAGTGACTTAGTGACAATTCCTTATTCGAGACTGATTTATAAAGTAGGATCGTTGAAAAATATAAATCCAATGTCGTAGAAGTAAAATGAATGCAATCCTTGCATCGGTGAAAGTTTGACGAATCTATATTCTTAATACAATAACTTAGTATTTAACCTTATTTATTTATCTCATTCCTCGATAATGTATAACGAGTGACTCTTAGTGAACAAAATAAAAAAAGAAATGATTTGTTCTGTGGCATATCCAAACAATTTGCTTCCATTGTTGATTTTCTCACAAGTTTCCATTCATTATTAGAAAATTCAATAGTACGTAGCAGGCAGTTTAGTTGTTATTCGACAACAAAGTGCATCGATAAATCGTTGGCGAAATAGCATTGATTGTTCGGTAAATTCCAGCAGTGGTTGGAGAGAAATGTCGATTACGATAATAATACAAAGATAGAGTTAGTAGTATGCCGCGTGTAATATTTTAAAACAATTTTGAAAATTCTATTACATTTCGCGATTCCACGCGCCGCAGAATATAGTAATGCATGTTTATTACAAACCAATTTCAATTACGTATGTAATAGTTATTGGTATCTTGAATATGTCTATGGGCACACGTAAATTAGTAGTAGGTAGATGCTTTGAAAAGTGATAAAATACTTAAAAATTTAGCATAAATAACAGAACAAATAAATAATAAAAAATATTGATTCTCTAGGATTAGCGATAAATTACGTTTACATTTAAACACGCGAAATGTGAGATGTTAATGAATGTTTCATTTTCAATATTTATCAGTATATTTATCAGTCATGGCGCATTAAAAATGCAAAAATACAAGATTTTTTATTAAAAAAAAAAAAAAAAAAAAAAAAATTTGATGTCCAAAGCGAACCGTAATATACTGAAACATAAATAGTTTTTATGTTATACATTAGTGGAGTGACCGTAGGAATATTCATTGTTACTCTACATGATTATTAAATAAAAAATATTGGGCTCAAAGAAAATACATTGAAAGCCTCTCTTCATATGTTTCATTTAAATGTCTTTGAGCAGACATTAGAAAGATATTAACTCCCTTTAGTCTAATAAATTATGTTTAAAGATATAAATAAAGCACGTTCGTGCGCATCTTCGTGCACATACTTTCATACGGCTACACACACGTGTGATTGCTTTATTTTCTTAATTAATTTGCGCTTCGATTCAAAATTGCTTAAAAACAATTTAAAATAATATTAATATCCTATGATGAATCTTTGAAAGTTATTTCAGATCGTAAATGAAATGCGTTCCGTTTTCAACTCGTACGGTTTCTGCATATCTTCGGGCTTACCTAAGCAAAACTTGAAAGGCGCATTAATTTAAAAAGGCTTTCAGTATCCAATAGGGCCTACCTAATCTATTTATTTTCGTAATTGATAATAGCGCTTTATCAATTATAGTATCGATCGCATAAATAATTATATCGTTACATTTTATTAAATTCCGCAAGCTTTATAGTTAATTAATAAATTCAAACCGCAGTAATTATTCGTCGGCCCCTACGTATCATTATCAGGTCGTTAATTATGATAATTACATTGTTCTATTTCGATTGTCGCGGCGTAATTAAAGGGAAAATTGTGCATAGTACGAGCAGCATCGGACCAATCTCGTAAAAAAAACTTGTCCGCATAAACGAACTCCACGAACTTATTAGAATACAACGTTATTCGGAGGTTTTATGTCTCTGCTTGAATTTTAATTTAATTAGCACAAGTTAGTTTACCAGTAAATCGTTCATTAAAAGTGCAAATTACGAATCAATGCGTAAGAAAAAAAAAAAAAAAAAAAAAAAAAAAAAAAAAAAAAAGAAAGAAAGAAAGAAAGAGACGAACGTATTTTTACGCAGGGCGATCGGTACTTTCGCTTCGTACTCCCAAACTGGGGCATAAGTATCGAATTCGCTCACGCGAAAACCGCATTAAAATATATAAATCGGCCTCTTACTTTTATAATATAAGGAATGAAGAGAAAGACAGAATGAAAGAAAAGGACATAAAAGACAAAAGCAAAAGGAGGCGCAAAGAAATGTGCAGCCTGGGGGGCGAGGTATCGCGGGGACGCCGACGCCTCTTCCTCGAGGCATTAGTATGCAGGGCGCGTGGCCGTCCCCGTAGACGAGACGCCAATGCGCGCGCATCGAGGAAACGGCGTCGACGTCGCCGGGAATGCGGCCCAAAGAACTCACCTTGGCAGCCGCGCTAGGTAGAAGAGGAGGGAGGCCATTTCCCGGGAGGAGACTACGTCGCGGCGCGACGAGCTCCCGTCGAATTCCAGGATCGGCCTGCCCGCGATGTCCGCGTACCCTGCAAAATCATAATTGAAGCATTTAATCCGATTGCACGTTTTTGCGTCGCAGCTGGAATGTCGCTGACCGCTCGTGCACCTACTCGGGCGACCCGACGATTGGGCCTCTCTCCTTTATCAAGGGGGCATAATCGCACGGGGCCAGGGGCATAAAGTGCCTGCTGTTGGGGCTGTCGGTGCATTTTTGAGCGGACAAAGCGTTTGGGCTCCTGTTTTTTCTCTTTTTTTTTATTTCATTTTATTTATTTATTTATTTATTATTATTTTTATTTATTTATTTTTCTTTTTTATATAGCTTTCAAGATGGCCGGAACAAGCCCCGAGATACGGACAATGCTCCGAGTATATTTATAAGCGCTATCTGGAGTTTTTTTTAGTTTTTGACGTGGTATCTCATAATTTTTTCACACTCGCACACACACACACACACACACACACACACACAAACGCGGACGCGTAAGGATTTATACATGTGTATATATTTACTTACAGGACTTTTTATCGTAAAACCTATACCACCAGTCACTTCAATCGTTTTTATTTACGAGTTAAATTGTCAAGGAATGTATAAAAATGGATGAAAAAACAAGCACATACCATTTATATTATAAAATTGGATCGAATTCATTCATTAAAGAAAATTAATTGCAAAAGTTTGGACATTCTTTTTTTCTCTTCTTAGTCTAAATAAGGATGATGAATATATAAATATACATGGAACACACTTGGTTTCATTTTATCGAAATGATGTTTAACTTTTATTATTATTTAATATAATAATTGAGAGTTACATACTATCCGTTTGTATTTTATGTGTGCGTTTGCGTTTGAGTGTGCGTGTGCGTGCGTGCGTGCGTGTGCGTGTATGTAGATACGACATATAGCTGAATAATGACTTTTTTGTAAAATTATCTGATGTATAATAAAACAAAATTGAGGTAAATAATTACAATTTGGATGCTCGCAACGTAGATGAAATCTTTAGCATGAAATTGTTTTTTATTTTCAATCATTTCACTCTTTACGAAAGAATAAAAGATTAAAGAAATTTTATTGATCGGTATCAGTTTAGATACGCATACAAATAACAAACTAGTATAGTCATATAATCTTTGTGATCACCATGCTGCTGCTGCTGCTGCTGCTGCTGCTGCTGTTGTTGTTGTTGTTGTTGTTGTTGTTGTTGTTGTTGTTGTTGTTGTTGTTGTTGTTGTTGTTGTTGTTGTTGTTGTTGTTGTTGTTGTTGTTGTTGTTGTTGTTGTTGTTGTTGTTGTTGTTGTTGTTGTTGTTGTTGTTGTTGTTGTTGTTGTTGTTGTTGTTGTTGTTGTTGTTGTTGTTGTTGTTGTTGTTGTTGTTGTTGTTGTTGTTGTTGTTGTTGTTGTTGTTGTTGTTGTTGTTGTTGTTGTTGTTGTTGTTGTTGTTGTTGTTGTTGTTGTTGTTGTTGTTGTTGTTGTTGTTGTTGTTGTTGTTGTTGTTGTTGTTGTTGTTGTTGTTGTTGTTGTTGTTGTTGTTGTTGTTGTTGTTGTTGTTGTTGTTGTTGTTGTTGTTGTTGTTGTTGTTGTTGTTGTTGTTGTTGTTGTTGTTGTTGTTGTTGTTGTTGTTGTTGTTGTTGTTGTTGTTGTTGTTGTTGTTGTTGTTGTTGTTGTTGTTGTTGTTGTTGTTGTTGTTGTTGTTGTTGTTGTTGTTGTTGTTGTTGTTGTTGTTGTTGTTATTATTATTATTATTATTATTATTATTATTATTCGGTTCATGTTTTATCTAGATAGTATGATCGATGGCTACTTCCATTTCATGATGTTTATTTATTTAATGTATTTTTTGATTTCTCTTTAGCCAATGTGATTCGGAGTCAAGCCGTGTATAAGTACTTAAATAAATAGCATTTACAACAAATATTCAAAGACTTTTTAATCGAAGAGACATTTTAATATATATAAATTACTTGGTGTCCTTAATAGAATATTGAATTCTTTTAATTATTTATAGTTATTTCACTTCATCATGCACCACATATTAAGATAATCCATTAAAACATTCATAATTATTAATTTTCATCATAACTAGTTGGTATTTGTCATTGATTTTCATTCGATAATTTTACGTTGAATTTTACTAGCATGACAAAATTACTTTGCCATAATACAGGATTTATTAGGATAAGAAAAAATCAATATAAATGATTTAAGGATGTATTTGCTTGTTTGAGCAATATAAAAATAGAAATAAAATATTAAAGACTTACGTCCACTATTGTCAATGATAGGAAACTGCTTATTCTTATGATTAATATTAGCTTGTAAATGATATTGATGTTTGTTAGGTGATTTTTGATAAAATGCAATTGCGTGGATGACACTTAAAAATATAAATTTTGTTTTCGATTCATAGTGACCAGAGAAAATAATTAATATGTAGCATTAACTGCTTATGTCTGAAAAATTCAAGCAGTAGCCATTGATTATCGATAGGAATGATATTTTGCAAAGATGTGCTTTGATAAATCGAGGAAAAAAGCGATTCGTATCCAATGGAAGCATCGAGCGAAGACAGAGTAATTATATCTTATACATTTAATATTCCCTTTTATCGCCATTAATCCGGGATGCACTCTCGAAAGCCAGTTCGTTAAACGACTAATTCAAGTTAATGAAGCACGACAAGAATCTGCAGACTCAACAGACAATAAATTAATCACTCATCTAATTTATTACAAAATTGATCTTATCATCCAAATGGGGAAAAAGAATTAAATTTCACCACACTCGCACCAGCTCACACGTACGTGTACGCATCGATTGCGAATCACCTTAGCATGCAAATGGATAAACTTGCTCCCCCCCCCTCCCTCCAAGCTCCCCCTCCTCCTCCTCCTCCCCCGACATTCCGCGGTGAAGAAAAACTAATCCAACGTGCCGCTTGGGTATCGTAGATAATCGGGAAAGGCTAGATTCGTAATTACACTTATATGTGTATAAGTGTAGCGAGCTGCTAGACGAGAAATGCCGGGACGAATTATCGCATCGCCACGGCAGTAATTGCACGGGTAATATATAGTGTGCTAGAATCAATTATCATTATATCATTAAAGTGCAGGCCGCACGATGGATTGATCTTGAAAATTTATGAAACAGTTTTTAAGGCGTCGCATGAATAGTTTTGGCTCTTAAAGTTTCTAAATACGACAGAGCAGTAATCATTCGCTTGGTAAAGGCTAATAAAGGAAGTCTAGTGATATGATAGTATGGGGCGGGTGAGGTGGGCGTGAGGGGGGGGGGGCGTTACGGCGTGATAAGGCGTGATCCAACATTCGAGAAATCCAAGATTTTTCATTCAATTTTTCCGACTAAAGCTAATAAGAGACGTTTATTCCAACTTTAGCTGTTTCAATGTAATTATGTTGTGCTCATATGGTAGTTAACGACTATCGAATATACGAATACATTTCTTTAATATGAATTGACTAATTATGCGCACGATAAAGTTACGGCACGGTTACGTCAAGTGACGGAGACGAAGTGTAATGTTATAAAGACACTAACGTAATTAATGCGTAATATAAATGATTTCGTTGCCTATTGTACGTGCATTTGGAAGTTAATGTTTCAAGATTACATGACAATCGTTAGAATATCATGCAAATCACTGCGACGGGCCCAATTCAGCGCATTAATACTTTTTGAATTGAAATATTCATTTGTACGAAAACGAAGTTCAATTAAATGTTGTTATTATTGTTAAATAATTTTTCACGACTGGCATTAATCGAAATTGTACTCTTCAATAATATTGAATTTCAGAAAGTTTCTCATAATCCAAGAATATTGATAATAAAATACAATACACTGACGGATTTCTAGATATCCTTTAGCGAAACAGGCTTTCCCTCTTCAAAAACGGCTTTTGATTTACAAATATAAATCCATGGCAGCGGTTGAAAATTATTTACTCGAAAACTATTTTCTAATTGACTAGGCTTGGGAGGAGCTTGTCTTTAACAGTCGCAATCGCATCGAGAATTTTCGAAGACTAATCTTTCAATACCAAATTCAATCCCAAAAGATACACGTCATATTTCTTTTGTCATTATATAAATTTTAAATTTCAAATTCCATGCTAATTTCACAGCTTCAATGAACAACGACGTTCGTTTACATTGCAATTGTCCGTTGGGAAAAGCAATTATTTCGAATCAAAAGGATTTTTACTCCTTCTCAAAAGGTCACCTCACTGTCGGTCACAATTCAGAAATACACAATTTTGGAATGTCAGTGGACCGATACGGGCAACACTCAACGGAACCCGGCCAATGCGCTTGATCGCACATTGCCGACACCCCGGTGCTATTCCCATGCCGACGACGACGTTCCCCGATCGAGTTTATGCGCGGATTCGATAAGAGTCACGATTAGGCGCACGCATGCGCCACCGATGTTGTGACGGGGCTCGCGCGAGATCCTAACAATGCATTTACAGTTACGATCTCACCCCGATGCTCTCAGGACTGCCCCGGGAGACGCGAAAACAGTTAGGCTGCTCGTCCCCGTCGTCAGCTCGACGGGTTTGATTACTTGCTCAGCGGCGCGGCGCTGCGTCGTCTCCGGCATTTTTTCCCGCTAAGCTAATTTTCATTTTTCATCGCTCGCGCGCTTGTTTATCTTTGTTTCGAGGCTTGTTCGAGGTCAAGAAGAGCACTCAGCGAGCGAAAGGCTCCCGTAGGTTTACGACCGTGCCGTGAGTGATGGACGATGACGCGGGAATGCTGATAGCGCAACATTGAATTTTACGATAGATTTCAGCCTCCTCGCCATTACTCGAGGGAGTAAATTGCTATTGTCACGAAATTAATGCGGTTTAATGTGCTTTATTGGTCGATCGTTTTGTAATTAGAGGCTGCCAGGACGGCCAAGCCTGAGCCAAGCCGCTCCTCACCGAATGTTGCCGTAAGTAAAAAATTAGGTAAAGGCATCGAACGCTATTTGGCCAGTGCATCTTGAATATC